CGCTACCTCTTGAATCGACTTCTTCAGTTGAATGCACACGATACTCTTGACGTGCTTTTTGCATCTGAAATATATAATTCTATCTGTTTTCGCACCAACAAGGTTCAATTCCCCTACCACTCTTGAATGGACGAATGAACTCTTCCTGCTGACAGCGTCGGCACTCATCTTCCGACTTGGCCGATCGCTAGCCGCTTCGTCCATCGAAAGAGTGGCGCGTGTATGGCGACCCACTCTCATTCCTGGCCGTCCTAAATTCATGAGTAGTTCTAATTGAGAGTATCCAGAGTCAGAATGAAAGTGAAGATACTCGGAATGGGAAATGAGAGGAGCGCAAGAAAGTGCTATTCCGAGATAAAACTTCACAAATTATATCTTCGATTTGAAAAAAAATTCAACTACTCTTTTCAAAAATTCTAGGGCATCCGTCATGCTATTCTAAATTTAGAGAAACTAAACGAAAAGTAACAGAAATGGTTGAAAGAGCCAATTATAGATGAGGAGATGAAGATGTGAGCTGTTTTCTGGTCCTCCAACCATATTTCATCTTTTCGTATCCTAGACAGTCACTATATGTGATGTTTTTTCTCATAGCCTGCATGAAGTTTTATTTTCAAGGAAAGCTTTCGCTTCAACTTCCAAAAATCACCATAGAGGAACATTGAAATCACAAGACTGACACGGCTTCTAGAAGTATTAAGTTGCTGAAATATTTTCATGGAATGAGGCAGAAACTTCTGTTGCCACAAAAAAGGCAGTGTTTGAACTGGCTCTTGCACAGTTTACTTCGTATAAGGAAATAAAAGTTGTTTGAATATCTTATCTAAGATTTTTCTACGTTCTGCATTTCTTGATTTAGCTTATATGTATGATTGTTGAAAAAATTTCCGTCACTTTTCCTTTCCTAGACTTCATAAAAGATTTTCTTCTTATTTTTTATTTTTTTGGAAATTTAGAAGGCTTCCGTAAAGTTTTGCAAGAAATTTACAAGACTGTGTCTTTCACCCATTGATCACATGTCTTTTTCAAATTTCGGCTTTATTACTAGAAACCTTGTACCATGGTCAGCCCAAACCGTAGGTGATCTGCGTACTGATATTTTAC